CACGTGGTGATAAGATAAGATCGGAATAACTACCTCCCAGCATCCGCTTTAAGGGCTAAGCTCCTCGCTTAATTACTCCACTACCCTTTTAGGTATAGAGTCGCCTAAACCCCGTCCAACCGTCGAACGGATCATTTTCTTACCCTAGTGGCCGTCCAACCGTTTGCGGTCTAGTTTGACCCCCGACCAACCGTTTTGAACCCTCCGACGGCGACGGACGGTTTGTTGGACACGCTGACCTCAACACCATGCTAAAGCTAGTATATCTCGCCCGCCTCGCCTGCTCGCTCTTATTGGGCGGGCGACCGATGTTTAAGGCTCCAGGCGGACGGGCGAACCGGCCCCTTACCCGCTAGCCCGCCCAAGCCCACCTGGATCTTTACGAGGCAAAGCAGCATGCGTCACCGACCAGCGACTCGTGGATGGAGGGTGCCTGTCAAAAGAGTTGAAGTGGCAGGATGGAAGTGAGACTGCGATGAACAGACTTGCAAAGGCGGTGTAGCTGTGGCGCCTGACGTCGAAATAGAACCTCGCAGCTTTGATGAAGGGCCTCAAAGCTGGCAGGTCAGAATTACGGCGGGAAGTGAAGAGAATGGCACATGAGACGACTCTGAGGACCGCCGAATAAAGAACGAGGACGTGCTTAGAACGAGTACTCCACATGTTGCGAGGGAAGGTGAATCGATTCAGGGGCGAGAGGGAGAGATTCAGAGGCAACTCCCTGTTGCCTCATAATCACGCTCTTGTGTAGATAGCGCAGGCCTTGTGCTCAACAGATGTGCAAGAAAGTCATCGTGTTCTGCTTTCCTACAAGAATCTCACTCCCTACCACCAACCCTCCTCTCCCAGTCCTCACCCACCCTAATTCCATCACATACCTCCACGCCCTTCCCTAGGCCCACTATACTCGACTCCTCCCACCACCGCTTCTCCTCATCACGTCTACCCTCCTCTTCGCCCTCATCCTCCGTATCAACAAGTCCCCCCAAACCCGCAGCATCACCTCCAACAACAACCACAACCTGGCCCACCCAGTTCTTCACATCCTCAACGTTCTTGCCATTCTCGCCAGACAGAGCCTCGGCGAGGTACACGATATCAGGCGCAAGGTGCCTTAAGATATGTACGTGTCCCGTCGGCGTCGTGAACGGCATGACCATGGTAGGCGTCTCGAGGAGGCGCAGCGCCTGCGCATGAACGGTGTGGTACAGACTCGAGTCGGCGTCTTTCGCGGACAATGCGGGCGTGGTTGCCGCTGGGGTGTATTGTGTGTCGAGGGATGCGAGTTCCTCGCCTGGAGTCTGTGCTGGGGTCGTGATGGCTGAGTAGGGGGAGCCGAGGGAGGAGGTCGGTTGGAGGCGCCCGGAAGAGGATGGGCGGGAGGTCTTGAGGGAGGGGGCATAGATGAGGATGAAGAGGCGGGTGGTGGATGGGTCGATTGCGGGGAGGTGGGAGAGTAGGGACTGTAGAGATTTAGCTGCGGCGAGCTTGAGGAGAGGCGAAACTGGAGCTTACGGCGTGCTCGGTGTGATACGCGCCCTGCTCTTCCTCGTGCAGATCAGACCGAGGAGAGTCAGCAGACAGCACGACAGCGACAGTCTTCCTGCGGCCGCCAGCCGGCGCTTTCGAGCTCGTCTGTCCGCGCATCGACGCGCCGAATGCTTCTACCTGCGTCTCTACAGCCGCGGCACTCTGGCTGCTCTGCGCTTCTACGCCCCTCCGTGCCCGCTCCTCATCCCACCTGTTATGATCGCCATAGGCGTCCTTATCCTCCTCCTGTATAGATGACAGCGCGCCGCCAACCACCGCCCCCGCCGCCGCCACGCCCGCCGCAACCTTCCGACTCGCGCTGTCAAACACCTGCTGCGGGCTCGGCGTCCTTCTTATCGCGCCGGACATGCGCGCCATGAATCCATCTTCCCCTTCCCTGACCGCCCCCTCCGAGTAGCGCGCTTCGGTGCCGTAGCTGGGAAGAGGTCCATGCTGCCGTTCCCCGTCTTCGCCGTAGCTCAGTTCATCATCGGAGGACTGAGGGGGATCGTCAGAGTCTTGTCGCTCGCTCCATATCCAGGCTGCGAGGCCCGCGGACGCGACGGTCACGGTCAGGATTAGGGGGACCCAGTAGCCGAGAGTTGTGCGCCGGCTGGTAGGGCGGCGGGTGTCGTAGCGGTCGTAGGAGAAGGACATGGTGGATTGGGGGTGTTTACGTGCTTGGACAGGTCTTTGTCATGGTAGAGGATGTCGAGTATAGCTGGTGGCTGGAGCTGGACAGCTGCTGTAGAGGGGGCTGGTGGTGAGGTTGTCGAGCTCCATAGGGAGGGAAGGTTTGCCGAGGCGCATCAAGTGGATCAAGTGGATCAGCACATGAAAATCGACAATGGTCTGAGTCAACATCACACTTTCCTACCACTGCACCATCTGTACCTTTCTGTCTCGAAAACCAGACGGGTTGTATCAGCGAACTACGTGGCGGAGTGCGACCCAAACGAAGCCAATCTCAAGCACTTTACGCAGGGAATCGGAGCAACAATTCCGGATACACATCTAAACCGCTACCCAAGAGGCCATGCCTCACGCAACCATGCCCGCCCCGGGCTTCCAAGCGCTGATACTATGCGGCCCCGGCGTCTCGCTGAACACCTTCACCTCGAACCCTAAGGACTTCCCCAAAGCGCTTGTACCAATTGCAAACCGGCCGATGGTATGGTATCCGCTGGAATGGTGCTATCGACTGGGCATAACAAGTACGTCCACGTACGTGTCGCAGATATCTGGTTCAAAGGAGCGCCGACTAACTTGGCGAGCTTCTAGACATCCTCCTGATTACGCCTCTGGAGTCGTCGGCTGCGCTTGAAGCAGCGCTGTCGCAGAACCCACATTTGACCTCGCTGCCCGCGCCGAAGCCGGACATCCTTGCGCCAGAGGGCTTGACACAGACAACCAGCACAGGGGAGATATTCAGATTGCCACAGGTACAGGATGCCATCACGGGAGACTTCATTGTGCTACCATGCGACCTCGTCTGCGAACTGGACGGCGCCTCTTTACTGGAGGCCTGGATGATCCGGGAGGCCGGGTTAGGTGGCGCGACAGGCGGCATCACCGAGGAAGGACGACTCCTGCCCATGAGCGTAGGAGGCGAGAAAAGCGGCCGAAGAGGTGGGCTGGGTGTCTGGTACCAAACCAAAGGGGAGGGCAGCGTCAAGGGCGAAGAGACGGACTTCATTGCTACAACCCCGTTACCAGAACCCATCGTCCCTCCTCCAACAGGCTCGCTTCGCCCCGACCTTGCGAATCTGGTGTACTCCGTCCCCACAGACACGCTGAACGATATCACCGAAGCACACAAGAGCTTCCCCGTCCGGCACTCCCTCCTCCGCAAGCACGGCCGCATAAAGATGCTCTCCACCCACCGCGACGCCCACATCTACTTCTTCCCTTTCTGGGTCCTCGAGATGATGAAGCGGAACCCCAGATTCGACAGCGTGAGCGAGGACGTCGTGGGCTGGTGGGCCAAAGCCGGATGGCAGGACGGACTAGGCGACAAGATCGGCCTGCGCGACATCTTCGAGAAGTGGGCTGGAGACTCCGACAATGAGGATCCGCTCAGCTCGAGCGGGATGCTTGATGAGAGAGTCAATGTCGCCGGCATGAGCAGCACATGTGCCACCGCACCAGCAACGCAGGACGAACCGCGACGCTCGTCAACCACGCAACTTGCCTCTCGCGCAGGCTCAGCAACGCTCATCGCGGACACCCCAAAGCCCCGTCTCACCGTTCCCCCTATCCTCGCATACGTTCATCCATACGTTGAAAATGCCCCCCTGATCCGCCGCGTAGACACCGCGCCGCTGCTCCTTAATATCTCACTCGCCCTGGCCAAGCAACCCGCCCTCGACACCGTGGGCCGCGCCTTCACGCCCCCCTACGCTCACGCGTCCAAGATCGCGCATCCGGAATCTATACCGCAACGCTGCCGCGTGGATACCGCGGACAGCCTGCTCGCGGAGAACGTGACCGTTGAAGAGAAGGTGAATATCAAGGAGTCCGTCATTGGCGCCGGGTGCAAGATCTCCGAGGGCGCGAGGCTGCTGCGGTGCTTGCTCATGGAGGGCTGCGAGGTGGGCGAGAACGTGCAGCTTACGGGGTGTATTCTGGGGAGGCGGTGTAGGATTGAGGGGGGTAGTGGGAAGGGGGAGAATAGGACTGTGCTGAAAGATTGTGAAGTCCAGGAGGGGCATGTTGTTGAGTGGGGAAGTGAGTTTGACCCTTTTCCCTTTCTGCTGAGTTAATGGGGGCGCGTTACTGACTTGTTGCGTAGCTGAGGCGAAGGACGAGAAGTTCATGCGGTTCGAGGGGCTTAGTGACGAGGGCGAAGGCTTCATAGTGGAGGATGAGGAGCTAGATGATGGTGCCGCGGGTGACTTCATGGCATGAGGTGGCTTTGTCTCTAGGGCTGTCTCTGGTCGGACATCTCAGCTAGTAGCTAGGGGAGATGCTGGGTAGTGCGGGAATATGCTGTGTGACTGGGAAACTCATGAGAACTGATGGTGGAGTGTCACGCGAGCAATGGATGGTGTTACGATCGGAAGGCACATTAGTTGAAGCACTACTAGAACAGAGAGGTTTTATGCACTCTCCATGAACAGTGGTCAGTTCGATTTCAAGGAAATTTCGTTCCAGAATCGAGGATCTTAGAAAGCCGGCCCGCCGCCCCAGGCATCTAGAGATGATTCAACCTGCCGTTGCTCGTCTGCCTCACCGATCCCCAAGCTCTCGACCAAATCCCAAAACTCGTTCCGCGCCCTGCCATCACGAAGCCTGTCTCTTAGGGGATCTTTGCCATCTCTGACATCCTTAACAATAATCCTGATCCTCGCCATATCCCCCACATCCGCCAAAGCCCTAACTACAGTCGTAAGCGTGAACCAGCTCGGGCTCTTGCGCTCCCGCCCCATGCGCGCAAGGAACGTCATCATCCTGCCCACCTCCCCGGCACGCGCGTAACCCTCGACGAGGCGGTCGAAGAAGATCAGATCCGTGACGCCGGATGTGGTCTCGATGTGGCTCCACAACGCGTCGACTGCCGCGATGTCCGGTGGATTCTGGGAAAAGTAGTGGGTGATGAGCATGGTGTAGATGTGAGCGCTTGGCGTAATTTTGCGCTGGCTCATGTAGTCAAGTACCGCCCGAGCGGCCGGCAGGTTCTCATGGTGCTTTAGAAGGCTGTCGATAAGCGTGCTGTAGACCCAGGCGTTCTCTGGGAGGCCGTGGGTTTGAAGCTGTCGGAGAGTGGATATGACCGCCTCTCGCTGTTGCTCCTGCGGCATGTCACTGAGGGCAGAAGCACGGAAGACGTGGTTCAGGATGATGGTGACGGTTGCCACGTCCGGCTGCACGCTCATGGTTTCCATCTGCTTGAGGAGGCGCATTGCTTCTCGAGCGTTGTCGCTTTGCAATGAAGCCCGAATAAGGATATTGAACGTCACTGCGTCAGGTCGAATCCCGAAAGCGTGAGCCCAAGCGAGTACATTGGGGACGAGGTCCTGCTTTCTAGTCCGCATGAGCGCCGTGATTACGGAGTTGACAGTCTCAACGTTCGGCTTAGCGACATCCGGCGGGTCTCGGGACATGGAGATGTTGCCATTTCTTTTGGTTTGACGACTGCGGGCGGCTTCTGCATAGATCCGGCCCATCTCATCTAGGACCTGCAGACCACGTATGTGGTGGCCAGACAACATCAGGCTTTGTATCCGTACCGCCCAAGCATGCGCATCTGGACGAACTCCAGAGGCCAGCATCCTTTGCCATATCTGTTCTGTAGCTCCAAAATCCTTAGCTTTGCCGGCGCCATCCATCATGGCGGTCCAGGTTGCAACGGTCGGCTGTACTCTGTTGGCAATCATAGTGTTCCAGACGTCAACGGCCTTGTCTGGCTGCCTGAGATGCATGTATACCCTGAGAACGGTATCATACACTCTGGTTGGGATAATGGTCTTCGGTAGTCCATCTTGTAGTCTAGAGAACGCTTGTTGTACATCTTGCCATATCATTTCAATATGCCGTACGCTCTGGGCTTCAATTGCCCTCTCAAGGCGCTTGACAAAGAAATTTTCCAATCGTTCCTCTGCGTCACCCGGAGGAGCAATTGATGCGCCTTCCGCTGTGGACGAAGATTCCCCTTGGTTTAGGCCAATGATGACCATAGCCCGTGACTCGAACGCTTTGCATTGTGAGAGGAGCTCATCAACGCGCTCCATCGGCAGATGAGCCGATTGTAATTGGAACCGGATGCGAGAAAGAAGAGGGTCTACTCGAATACCCGGAAGAAGGTAAGCAATGTAGCGAACAAAATGCTCATGGTCTGATTCTGACAAGTCCGTTGTCGTTCCTGCGCCATCTGACTGGCCAAGCAGATTGAACGTAAGAAAAGCGGCCGCCTGTAAATCCGGACTGCCCATTGCAGCCGTGCCAAATCGGGGCGCAAAACGGACCAGTCTCTCCCCGAAATCCCTGGATTGATTGCTCCCAGACAACCTCCTTGTCCATCCACGAACATCCGGAAGGCCAGGCCAAGCATTGGGCGGTCCCTCAGAATCAGTCGATTCAGTACTCTTAAGTCTTGCAAATGCTGCAAAGAGGGCTTTCCACAGTGCAATCAGCTCCGCGAAAAGAGCTTCGCTTCGCCGTGCTGTGGTGGCGTCATGTGTCCGCACGCTGCCAGCTGCCGCTTGTGTGAGAACGAGCCATATGGCGTTTGACCAGAGCTCTGGGCGCATGATTTTGAGCTCTTGATACTTGGCGATTAGCACGGATGGACTTGGAAGTAACGTTGCTGACTCGTTCTGTTGATGCCATTCTTCTACTATTGATTTGAGGAGTTTCTGAAATATTGAACCTCGCAACAGCTTCCCGAGGTCCTGGAAAGCAAGGCGGGAGGGGTCGAGTTCCTTTTGAGCATCGAAGTATTTTAGGAAGAACTGCCATGCTTCTCGTGTGGTGTGCTTCGGATCGCCAAGAAGCTCTTCAAGACGGGTAGCTCTACCGGTTACCTCGCTCTGGGATCTTGTGGCCTCAGTTCGTGCCGACGGTACTGCTAACGGAACAGATTCCTCTGGACGTATGTTCGATCGCAAACCCCTCGAGTAACGGCCAACGATAGGCTTGTCTATATCCAAAAACAGGCTCTCCAAGTTCGGATCCTTTCCTCCCCGTTTCTTCTGGGGGTGACGTGAAGTTTTCCATTTCGAACTCGGCGTTTGCTGGTGCGCGTTATCGCCCGCCGAACCAGTTCGAGGCTTGCTTGCAAAGTCCGGTGACGGGGTGAGGGAGATGAAGGAGGCTCTTGGTTGCCATTGGGGTTTAGCAAGCTGGTTTGCACGCCGCGACAAGGTCCTTCGGCAGTGCGCACATATGTACAGTCCGCTCATACTCGACCTTCGTCCGCAACAAGCACGACACCATACACGAGGCCTGCAAGTCTGATGAAGTTGAAGCGCGTCGGTGGACGCGCCAACATTACGCCGCCGCCAGAGCCAAAGAGGAAGTCCGCGATGCCGAGTGCCAAGATAACGCGGCTGATGACGCCCAGCCGAAGCCAACGCCGCGGAGACTCTCAGCGCCAAATTCAGGGTTGCAACTCTCGAACTTTTGAGCTTGGGGATACTTAAACCATCGGCCTAACAGTGGCCATGGAGAGGAGTGTTTCTTGTTATATGCAACATGACTACTCTTGAACCACGGTCGCCCTACTCCCCGGAAGAGCTCGAGAAGCTCTATCCGAAGGGCCTCGATTTGAAGCTTGTTCAGATCGTATGTCCAGCAACTGGGCTACCGCGCCCAGCCCTCTTTCGCGAGGTATTCGAGGGCTATGGATCAATTCGGAAGCTAACAGTATCTCCAGCTCCTCCGCCATGGTCAGTCAAGCACTCATCCGAGGTAGCCGTACTGACAGCGGAAAGGCGAACGAAGCCCTGTATCACCACGTTTCCAGAGTGTACGTTTACTTCCGGGCCTCGGGAAGTCCTCTGCTAATCATTGAGCCGCCAGACTGGCCTTGCCCCTCGTATGTCTCGTAACCTGGCGCAACGACGTTCTGCTCATCACTCTATCAGATTGGCCGTACTGCAACGCAGCTAGGCAGATAACGAGCGTCCTCTTGTCCGCAGCCCGCGACAAGGACGTGTCTCAATGGGACGAGCTCAAGTACAGGCGAAGGCTTGAGACGTTTGGTGTCGATGACGGGCCTGTCGTAGCATCTGGACCCACCGGACAGTTCGATGCAATCTGGTACGGAGATATTGTTCAGGCTATTGTTGCCATGCATAGCTGACCACTTGTCTGCAGCCAGCCTGGCGAGTTGACCGACAAAGGTCGCGAATCCACCCTCGCGCTCGGTCAACGCCTGAGACACCTCTATGTAGACCAGCTAGGTTTCATGCCTCGGTTGATCTCGGACAGTGATATGATATATCTACGATCGACACCTATACCACGAGCGCTCGAGTCTGTGCAACAAGCCTTCTGGGGCATGTATCCTCCTTCTGCTCGCACAGCATCCTTTCCCGTCCCGACGATCCTCACCAGAACGCCCGCAGACGAGACGCTGTACCCGAACGACGGCAACTGCCGGCGATTTGCCCAATTGAGCAGGGCGTTTGCACAAAGGACGGCCGATAGATGGAACGATACGGATGATATGAAGTATCTCACTAAAGTTCTCTCAAAATACATGCCAGGCAACACTCCAGTAGCTGTTGACTCTCATCCGCGCCTTTCGGGTATAATGGACACGATCAACTCTACGCTCGCGCATGGGCCTGCGACTAGATTACCTGATGATTTCTACGATCCAAAAGTCCGCGATATCATTGAAAAGATCGGGTGCGAAGAGTGGTTTGCCGGCTATGAGGAATCGACCGAGTACCGCGCTCTAGGCATAGGTGCGCTGGTGGGGGATCTTGTCTCCCGCATGGTCGGCTCCGTGGAACGAACGGGCAACGACGGTCTTGTCGAGATAGCCGGTGAAGATGGCGCGCTAGGCACGGGCAGAGGTGGCGAGCACGAGATCAAATTTGCAATGAGTGGCTGTCACGATACCACTCTTGCGGCTCTGTTGGCATCTCTCGGAACCTTCGACGGCAACAAGTGGCCACCCTACACATCGCACATCGCTCTCGAGCTGTTCCGTAACCGCACAGAAACTTCAGAAGTGCCCCCGCCAGTTACACGGCCAGACCGTACGGGCGAGCAGCCAGAGAAGGTTAGGAGTCAGGGCTGGTGGGCAAGGTTGTTTGGATCGAACAGAGAGCTTGCTCCAGGGCCGGAGGAGGTTCCATCTCAACTAGAGGGCATCGCGCGCAAAAGAATGGATGAATTGACGGACGATCAAAAAAACCAGTTCAAAGGATACTATGTCCGCGTTAGGTACAACAACATGGTCATGCAAGTTCCGGGATGCAAGCCGCAAGGGAAGCACCTGGAGGGAGACGAGAGCTTTTGCACCTTGGTAGGCTGTTTCTCCCTCCCGTCCGGTATCTCTTCTCAAGACTAGGAGCTAACTTGCATGTTTAGGAGGCTTTCAAGGCCATTGCGGACAAGTACACGCCACGCAATTGGAAGGCGGCGTGCGCATCAAACATGGATGACTCTCCCTTCCCCTCGAAGGTGGAGCCTGCTGGCTACGACTAGGTCACCGTGCTTACCCCGTCATGGGCCACACGAGGGACTTGAAGAAACCCTAGGTTTAAGCTAAATCCACACCCAAAATGACCTCAGTCTGCAGATTATAGGCACCTGCACTTAGCGCGTGGATGCAACTCAGTAGTGTTCAAGTAGTCAGTCCGGCATATTGTAATGCTGGAACCAAACTAGAGATTCTAGATGCCAACGACATGTATCGAACAGACGCGCAAACGCCAGCCCGGGCTGTGCCGCGAAGAATGACGCGGACACCTTACTGAGAGGCAGCTATGTGTGGGTAGTGTAGGTACCAGTGGTGACCGTGTTTCTGGCTCAGGACCAGGAACGAAGATCGAGGCAACGTCGGATGCAGGGTGTCATGCCGCGCCAGGCGCCACTACCTTACATACTTCAGGGCGGGTTACAGCTCGCACCACCCACAAAAAAGTTCCGGGCACCCACGGATTAACCTTTGGGTGGGCCGAGCTTTTTCGGATAAACCTCTAGGTGGGCTCAGCTTTTAGCCTAAGCAGTGCACATGCGATATATATATAATGAATAAGCGCTATATATGCACTTTATATATATCTATTATAAGTTAGCGGTTAGCGGTTAGTAGTTAGATAGTTAGGTGATTAGCGGTTAGAGTAGTTAGGGTTAGCTGTTTAGAAAGAGTATAGAAACCTATTCCGACTAATTATAATCCTAAACGGTCTAGGATTAGTATATATAATATATAGGAATTGTATAAGCGATGTATATACACCTTATAGGTGGGCTTAGCTTTACTAAGGTAAGCTCTAGGTGGTGCCAAGTCTCAATTTCTGGGTGCCCGGAACTTTTCTCTGGGTGCCGCGAGGTGTGTGCCCACTTCAGGGCAACGCTGAGGCTGATCACTGCGGGGTTTTCTGGCGTTTCTGGCACTTCTCCGATTGCGTGTTCCCCTCCACACCTCCTTGAACCTCCACCGAAGCCTATTGCTCAACATCACGCCCGCTATCAGCCATGATATCAGAGCAATGCGCTTTTTCCCCCATCCAGCCCCACGCGACTCACAATGGAGCCCTCCTGGAGGTCCCGTTTTACTGCGGACGATCTTGCCATCTCTGACCAGCCGTTTGCCCCATTGCGCAACCCGTACCAGCCGGCAATTGGTCGGTACACCGGGTTGATCGCTCTAGCCCCAGCCGCTACGCAACAAGCAGATTCTTAAACCGACAGAATCTAGCCTCAGACTTTGCTCCGATTCTTTTTCCAGCTCGAACGCTCAGTCACAGCAGATCTTGGAATACAGATTGCGACTTTGAAGCTTCAGCATCAGCATCAGCATCGACCATGTCGAACAAGCCGATCTTTGTAGCTACCCATCCACGGGCATGCTCGACGGCATTTGAGCGGGTAAGTCGTGCAGTCGAGCTCCAAATCTACCGCAAAGCAGTACCGCTGACTGTCAGCCTCTATCAGGTCTTCATGACCCGCAGAGATACCCTCCAATGCGTCCACGAACCTTTTGGCGACGCCTTTTATTTTGGCCCTGAGAGGCTCGGCGATAGATACGAGAAAGATGAGACGGCTAGACTAGACAGTGGCTTTAGCGAGAGCACGTTCAAGACAATTCTTGAGAGGATTGATAGTGAGAACACCGAGGTTGGCCTCCCTGTTCTCGGAGCGATTGTGTTGCATTTTCAATCCTGCTCGCAAATTTCAAACATTCGTTTAGTCGTTTGCAGTCCGCCCGCAATCAAATCGCGTTCATCGCTGAGAGACCTTCATCTGCGCTTTCCTCCTGTGACCTGTCGCTTTTACGCGTTCCTTCTCTCTTCTCTTATCTTCGCCCCTAACTCAAGCCATCGTTACCCTCGCGCAATACCCATCGTCCCACCTACAGACCGCAGCTCAACCTGCAGAGGACCACTCGCCACGCCTTTCTCCTTTGATGTATCTTCGTCAACGGACAGAACCTCTCCTTGGTTCGCCTGATCGGGCACGAACCGACTTCGTGCTCCCTGCATTTACTTACCCTAGCTCTAGGGCAAGCGTATTTTCATCAAGGACATCACCTACTACCTTGTCCCTCCCAACGGAAAGCCCGCTTCCATCGCGCCTTCTTTGGTCAGCTACAAACGCGGTGTCGGTACCAACGGTGACTCGAAATCAGGTTTGGCCACCTCCGCTCCGGTCTCGGGCACCGCCGAGCCAGTGAAGGAGAACGGTGTCTCCAATGGCACCAAGTCAAGCCCACCCCATCCCTATCCCACCGTGGCGGAGCCAGGCAACCCGACTGTCGTCCCGGAGGCGCTTCTCCGCCAGTTCCACTTTACCTTCCTGATCCGCCACCCTAGGAACAGCATCCCGTCTTACTACCGCTGCACCATCCCGCCTCTAGATGAGATGACCGGCTTCTACAACTTCGATCCCTCTGAGGCCGGCTACGACGAGCTCCGCCGCGTGTTCGACTACCTCCGTAGCATCGGCCACATCGGGCCGCACATGGCGGGCGATCAGGGCGATCATAGCAATGGCATCAACGGCGTCAACGGCGTCGAGGACGGAGCCCATGACGCCATCGAGATCTGCGTCATCGACGCCGACGACCTCCTCGACGATCCTGCCGCCGTCATCGAGGCCTACTGCAAGAGCGTCGGCATTGACTACTCACCCGAGATGCTCTCCTGGGACAATGAAGAAGACCACCATGCAGCCAGGGAGGCATTCGAGAAATGGAAGGGCTTCCACGAGGACGCCATCCATTCCACGGACTTGAAGCCCAGGAAGCATGTAAGTTGATCCACCTACAGCCTGTCTAAGATGCAAACAGGTGATGCAGAGATTATGGCTGACCACTGTTTCGAAAAGAAGAAAGTCCCGAAACCGGATGACCAGCTGTACGCGGAGTGGGTCGAGAAGTATGGTGAGAAAGGCGCCAATGTCATCAGGGATACTGTTGCGAAGAACGTGGAGGATTATGAGTACTTGAAGCAGTTCGCTATCAGGGTTTAGGATGGTCGCACGGCCATTCAACATGGCTGCCTCACACTGAAATTGGGTAACGGGAAATTGTAACGGACTTTGGATCAGGCTACTGGGAAGGGTAACGAATCTGTTATATCTCAACAAGCTCTTTGGTTATTTCTCACGCCATTCGGGGCTACTTTAAAGCGCTCTCTGTATTTCTCAACTTTACTTCATCGCCGGTCATTACAAGTCAACTTGCCCTTTTGATCTTGCGGTCAGACTATATTTTCAGTCAGTTGCTCACGACATCCATGGCTTTGATACTGCAGTGTTTCTCAGCCAGCTTGTTCGTTCGCTCTGTAGTCAGTCTTTCGTGACTCTATGAATACGGTTAGATGAGATACATGCAGCCATGGCAGAAACGAGTCGACTACTAAGATAGACCGAAAGTCCCCATAATATCCGTGACTCTTTTCCAAATGGTAGAGTTCTTTTTCCAAAGTGATACTTAGCTTGACGGTGATCGCATTCTCTTGGAGAATTGAGTCCTCATCTTACCTCATACCGTCGACGGTTGTAAGAATACTTGCATACCTGTTCTATATAAACAATTCCATAGTCAAAGTGCTGCATGACAGAACTGTGATATCCCTAATAAACAGCTTTATGCTTCCGCTTGGTTCACCGAGGATGATCTTCGAGAAGAACATGAGTGGTTTCTGGTAGGGATTTTTACAAAGTTGGAGGCATAGCGCCACTTGTTGGTTCCAATCCATAGTCACCCATTCACTGCTATTTTGATTCACCATACGGTTGCCACAACAACCTGTTTTGTGAGATCATATGTTGGGAACAGCCCTTTCTCATCTTCCTTATGTCACTTGCCGCAGTCACCGTAGGATCCGACACACATCACCAACCGCACCATCAGCAACATCAGCCGCCATCATCGCGGCCAGACACCACCACCATGCCTCCAGCGGCCTACTCACCGCACCAGTCTAATCTCCCGCCCGCCCCCGCCATGCCACCATCCAGCGCCTCAGCCTCCACCCTCTCCACCCTCTCACCACCACGAGACCGCCGCCGCAACCCACAGGCCGGCACCACCAACCCCCCTCCCCACCATCACGCCTTCCACCTCCTGCACGCCGCCTCCACGCACCTCACGACGCGCGTTCACGATGCCATACGGCACTTTCTGCAAACCAGCGCCGCGGAGCGCGGCGTCGACCACTTCAGCACGACATTCCGGATCCCGCTTCACTATCTCCCCGGGGCCTCTGGCATAGTCTTCGCGCCAAAGGTCCTCGCGAACGGCGCGGACATGCTCGCCTTCTGCGACGCCGAGAGCGAGTTCGTGTGGTTCTTGTGGGCTGGAGAACGACTTGGTGGGAGGGGGGGCCTTGAGGCGTTCCTGCAGGGGATGGTGAACACGGGGGAGATTGTGTGGTGTGGGGAGTGGGTGAGATCAACTCCTAATCCAGATGGCTTCAGCGGGGAAGAGTGGACGGATTCGCCGTGGCATCGCTTTCTGGGGCTCTGTCGGCGCGCGAAGATGGAGGCGGAGACTGCGGCGAGGAATAGAGGTGTTGAGACTCAGAGACAGACGTGGGTCAGGGTTGTGCCATATCGGTTTTTGAAGGGGCAAGAGGCTGTTGAGGAGGGTGGGGAGGAGAATCCACCACAGCACGTTCCGGGGAGCTATCACGACTTCGATTACGGGTTTGGAAAGATTAGAAAGACTCCCAGTTCGGAGAGTCAACGGGTTGCGGTTGGGATCGAGGAGAAAGAGGAGGTGCGGAAGGCAAGATTGAGGAGGGAAGAGCGGAGGATTTAGATTGTGAGCGATGAAGAGAGCACATCGTATGGGAAGAGCAAGTGTTTGGAACGAGCTAAGGAGTTTGGAAGCGCTTTTGGACGGGTTCTGCTGCGGGCCCCTTTTCGTGTGCCGGGTGACTTGCATTGCTGGGATTCAGTGACAGGTTGGGGAACTTGGTGGACTTCGACGCCCTTAGAGAACAGCAGATCATTCGGAGAAGAGAAAACGCTTTGAAGGAACTGATCCAGGAGCGTCTGCTGGGCATGGTTTTATTCCCGCTCCATGTGCTAGCGGCGGGAGAAGCGATCGGTCTCAACATCACAGCACGTTACCGACAGCGCAGTGATGATGGCATGCTCCATGAAAGGTGTCGGTGCTTCTCGAATATCGTGAACAGTATGTATTGCTCAGCGTAGATGTCCAGAGATCTGTGTATCTCAGAAATATGGCCCCGCAATATCGAAACCGCCAGCCATCCATCCGCACCACAACCCTCACCAGCCTCCTACACTCCCTAACCCCTCCCGCTCAAAGCTTCGAATCATGACTCATCTTTTGCCCGGCCTTCTGACCCCGGTTCATGTTCTCCTTCTCCTTCCGCTCGAGTTCCTTCCTAGTCTCTTCTCCGCGCTTCTTCGCCTCCGGATCGTTCGCGGCACCGCGATCCTGGTCCGTAGGCTCCGAGTCTGCTGCTTCGGCCTTCAGGCTCGCGGGATCGCCGAGCTGAGAGGGGTTGTCGGAGGAGAGCTTCTCGGAGGCCATGCGTCTAAGTGTCTTGGGAGGTTCGGAGTCGTTGGGTGGAGACATGATGATTAGGGTGACGTGGGGGATCGATTGGTGCTGGGATGTGTTAGCGAAATGAGAGCTTCGGTTGGAGAGATGGTGGGCTTGGAGGCACTCACGATAGATGAATTGGTGTTTGATGGATACTCGGACTTCAGTATACCAAAGCAATGGCCTTCGGGCAGGAGGGTGGATTTTAGGGAACTAGATAGAATGATTGTCCAGAATCTACTGAGGAGATCGTAACAAGATGGCCGCGTAGCTATGCATCATTGCACCGAGGTAAACCAGGTACCTCTGTGGATGCTTACCGTGGTTGGCTATGACGTCTTTGATATTACCAGGGACACGTGAGAGGCCTGGACACGGATTCTGCAGCCTCAAAGCTCCAAAGCGACTTTCGATTGCCTGAAGCTACCATTCTGAGTGCCTGTAAAGTAATTCAACGTCGCCAGTGCAGATCTACGGCCGGCGAAAAAGGACAAGGAGGTTGATATGACTGCAGCTAGCGGCGCTTGGATCTCCTGCCAAGCTGCTATCCTTGTCTTCTGCTGGTGTATAAATGTCGGTGGCTCGGTATCTGCACGGTAGCTGCTTTTGGTACTGTATATATATACTTGTGGGTATAAAGCTGTGCAGCAGTAAGAGTAGTAGAGCGGAGACGTCGAACCAGTCTGGCGTTACAGCCGAGAAGGAAACAACGAAAAATCAGAGCGGTAAGCATCCGGAAGCTCAGCCGACGCCTTGAAATGCTACAGATAGGGAAACAACCAGATGTAAATGCTCCAACCCCCAACAAATAACCTCCAGACACCAACCGTGCAAGACCGGAGAACAGAAAACGGCTCTCACGACTTTCCTCACGCTTCCAATCTCTTCGTGCCACCACCGCCCTCTATTCTGCCGCCATGCATCCTTCTCCCATCCACCCAATCTCCACTCTTTCCTCCGCTCTTGCTCACAACCCTTACACCGTCAATGACCATGCCTCTGTCCACTGCCTTGCACATATCGAAAACCGTCAGCCCAGCCACACTAACCGCAGTCAACGCCTCCATCTCCACACCGGTTTGCCCCTGGCACTCGACTCTCGCTTCGATCTTCACGCCGCCGAAAGCTTTAAGCCCGCCCTGATCCTTACCCACCTCCGCCTCCCCGCCCAACATCTCGTCCAGCCACATATCCACAGCAACCTTCGTGATCTGGATAGGATGGCAGAGCGGGATGAGAGTAGGCGTGGCTTTGGCGGCCATGATGCCCGCGATGCGTGCCACGGCGAGCACGTCCCCCTTCTTGAGCGCGTTGGCGGCGATCAGCAGACAGGGGTCGGGGTTTGAGAAGCGGACTTCGCCGACGGCGATGGCGACGCGGTGGGTGGTGGATTTGTTGGTTATGGCGACCATGTGGGCTGTGCCGGCGGGGGTGAGATGGGTGAGATGGGGCGTCGGAGTTGTTTGGTCTGATGGAGATGTGAACGACGGGGATGACGAAGTATGGTCATCAGACGAGGCTGTGGAAGTGGTGTTGGTGCTCGAGGATAAAGACGGTGTTCGAGTCTCATCGAGACGCCGCGCGGACGAGTGAATAAGGCGTGGCCGCGGAACGTTAAGGTGAAAGCGCACCAGCGAGTCTTCTCCACTCATCTTGGCTTTAGTATCTAAGATGGTGCTTATACCACCTTTGTGAGGCCGGCCCAGTCTGTAGCGCGTGATTTTTATTGGTTTACCCAATTTTCTCACATGCTCGATCAGCTCGTCGTCGGTAGGCCTCTTTGGCGGGTTGTCCGGGGGTTTGGTACGGTTTACCATGGAGTAGTGATTTTGTGCGTTCTTTACAAGCTCCTCTTTCGGGTCGACATGCTCGGTTTGAGACGGGTCAAACGTAGAGTCGTAATACAACAATCTGATTGGTGTATGGCAGGTCTTCAAGTTATCGTGTTCCGGGATTGCACTGTGTGGATCCTCTTGTGTTTGTGTGGGCGATTTCTGTTTCATACCAGAATGACCGCCATCTATTTCTCGTAACGTACGAGGAACCCATCCATAGTTGTAATCGTGAAGCAATCTTCTCTCTTCGCTTCCCCGGATTCCGCGGCCTGACCTTCTTTTCTTGCTTTTCAAGCACCTGATAGCGGTCGAGGGCTCCTCGTGTTTGATCACCCCTGGAGATATTTCATCCATCTCAGCTACGGAAGCGACTGCATGCGGCTTGTCAGCCGTATCGTGGACTGCTGTCGTTGTCGTATTATCGACAACTGGCATAGCTTGCGTCAACTGCACCAGGCCAGCTCGTAAAGCACGAATGAGGACACCAGCACGTATCACCTCTTCGTCTAGGCTACGGAGAGTCTGCTCGCTTTCCTCGACCTTCCCTTCCATGCTAGGAATTTCTTGCCGCGCCCGCACAGGAAGCATGATTGCACCCAGCTGTCCTTTCATGCCGCGGATGGCTGCGTGGTTATCCCAGACCTTCTCTGCCAGGTCAAGGACTCGGCGTCGTACGTTTTGTAGTCGGGAGGCAGCCACCGCCTCCCCCCATCGTCTCCGCCGCTTTTCCTCTATCAAGCTAACGTACTTCTCGACGCTGTTGATCTGATTTTCAAGCTCTCGTACCTGACCGTCCCTCTTACTGATCTGCAGGCGAAACCACTCTTTCTTTGCCTCCGAAATAGCCCCATGCGCGAGGATTGTCGGCTTAGGGGCATCCCGTAACACCTCCTCAGACGCCGTTCTTCGCTCAATTGTCAGAGCCGGCTCCTCGCTGTTCTCACCAACCAGCATGTCGGGTTCGTTCTCGTCCGCTTTCGGCGCAGCCTTCCTCTTCCTCGTCGTCTTACTCTCCGTGAACGGATCTTCGGCAGTTCTGTCTATTAACGGTATTGCTGGCTTGGCAACAACTGCCCTGCGCTGCGCTGTAATATTGGTTCTTGTCACTCCCAGAGACGTAGGTTTGTTTTCATTCGCTTGTACCACGAATATTTCAGCTTCCGCCGGCTTGTATGCGTCCTTGTTCCCCTCAGCCGCCGCTTTCCTGTGACTGGTTTCTTCGCCCCCAGTCGACGCAGGTGCATACTCGGCGACGTCGTCAGTAGAGTCAATGAAGTTGTCATACAATTTCCACGGTTTGTCAGCCTGTGCTTTGCGTTGTGATTCAGTGTCCGGTTCCAGCGCTTTGGATGCAGCCGGCGAGCCGGTATGCTTGCGACGAATCTGGGTTTCCGCTTCATGCTCGCCGTCAGCTAAGCCCCTACCCTTATACTCCCCAATCTTCCTAACTGGCGGGTTGTACGTTGCGAAGCCCGCTCTTTGCTGGGCGTCGGTGGTGTCAGGTCCCTCTGTCCCGGCTCGCATCTTCCCAGATTTGGTCATCTCAGCTTCGGCAGGCCCGGTCTCCGTTTTCTCAACCGTCGGTTTTGTCCTCTCCATCCACGTACGCAGCTTCTCAGCTCCATTCTCCCTGGCCTTTTGCCTTTGAGTTTTCAGCAACATGGCTTTCGCCCCTTTAGCTTCCGCAATGTCCCTTTTCGTCCACGGAGGCTTAGGTACAAAGATCGCAGGATCCGGGTTGTGGGTTTGAATCCAGGCTGTCGTCAATTCAAACGCCTCTGAGTTAGCTGCCCACTGCCTCCATAATTCCTGCTCAAGCTCGTCACGCGAGCTCTCAGCCTCCGCTTTCTTGGTCCTCTTTTCCTGCGGCTCCTGCTTCTCAATGCCCCCCTTCCCAGCCTCCGTCTTCTCTGCCTCCGTCTTCTCTGCCTCCACTTCCCGCTCCCACGCCTCCAAAACCGTCATTCTCCGCTTGTTTCTCTCCTCCATCTCTTCATCCATCTTCGCCTCCATCTCCATCTCCATCATGCGCCCAATCGGACCCGCAGCCTCTCTCTTCTCAATCCGCTTCATCAGGACGTCCAGGCGTGGCTCACGAACCCCCTGCGTATCGAATGCATCGTCTTCTTCTGACATCTCTCTTCCTTTTCCGGCAGCTCTGGCTCTCAACCGCTGCTGCCGCGTCAACCTCGCCGGCGGGTCTGGTCTCGGCTGCTCCTGTTCCACCTCTTGCTCCGGGGTTACTGCAGCATCTTTCCACAGCGCACCCTTCTCCCCCATCCCCTGCTCCCCCTCTTCCATCCCAACCATAGCAGCCTCATCCGCCGCTACCATCTCAGCCTCATCACCTTGACGTTTGCGCTCCGCCCGCCTCGCCGCCCTCTCCGCCGCCTTCCTCGCATACTCCTCTTTCTTGCTCTCCCCCTTCCCAGCCCCCCCTTTTCTACTATCCCCGACCCCAATCACACCTCCCATGCTCTCCCACTTCCCTTCCCTGCCCTCCCACTTCCTAGCCATCTTCGCCTTCTTCCGCTCCCAACCCTTCCCGGCGACCTTCTTCCACTGCTGGCCTCGCCCTCCCCACAGCGGAGCTGAGTTGTTGGTCCGCCGTACGAGGCCCTTGTTGCGCTGCAAGTTGCGTGTGTCCTCGGCCTTTGCTGCTAGTTGCTGGCCTGAGGTGTGCGTGGGAGCGGCGTCGACGCTGGCGGAGCGCTGTGAGAGGGATGAGCGGAGAGAAGAGACCCAGGTGGTCTTAAGACTGGGTTTCGCGGCGCAGGAGGTGGTGGAGAAGTGGGCGTGGTGTGTGAGCGAGTGAATCGTAGGGAGGCGGTTGCTTGGGAGGAGGGTTGTTGAAATTAGGGTCCACGGGGATGATGGCGCGGCTATGATGTTGTAAGACGTTCGGCGTAGAGATATCCGCGGAGGGAAAGGTAGTTTGGCGGGCAGGCGCTTGCCTTCATCTACCTCACCTGTCAGTATACGTCTGGCACGTGGATGGTGACACGATTCCGGGCTGTGAGAGGGACATGCATAGCTTTTGTAGACTAGATACACCAAAAGATGGTATCGAACGCCGACCAATGCCACACAAGCCATGATTCCGTTCCCGTAGTGTCCCTGTCCCAACCAGACTACGACATATCATGACCAGACCCTGCGTCGCTTCGTACCGGCATTGAAAATCGTGACCCAACTCTGAGACATGAGGATCGGGAACTCACCCACCAATTAAGATCATCGGCCTGTTCTTCATGTTCTCCAACGCTCCCATCCCTGCATGCTTCTCCTTCTTCCTCTTAACCGCCATCCCAATCACATCCAGCAGCTCTCTCTCTCTTGCGCTGAAGCCCAGCGGCGTTTCCCCTAGCAAACCCTGCCGCCTATCCATCTCGACTTGCTTGAGCGCTTCAAACGCCTGCTCATCCATCGGCAGCCCGCTGTTATCTTTCCTCAGCAGGTCCCGTAGCGACACCTCCGCATTCCCAAACAAACAAACCTTCAAGTTCCCATCGCTCGTGATTCTCAGCCTATTACAGCTCCCACAAAAGTTGTGCGTCATACTCGTAATAAACCCCAATCTACCCACAAACCCCGGAATCCCAAACGTCTTACTCGTATCATTCTTATGCCCCTGCACCCTCCTAACCTCGGGATACTTCCCCCTGATAATCTCCAGCATCTCTCGATACGGCAGCATCTTCCCCTGACTCCACCGATTCCCATCAAACGGCATATACTCGATGAATCGCACTTCGATGTCCTTATCGCGCGTCATCTCCACAAACGGCAATATCTCCCGCTCGTTCAGCCCGCGCATGACGACGCAGTTAATCTTGAGCTTCACCCCCGCGCCGAGCTTGTTCATCTCCAGGATGCGCTCCACGCTCTTCATCACGGCCTCGAAGCCGCGCCGGCGCGTCATGATCTGGAACTGAAACGGGTCGAGCGTGTCGAGGCTGAGGTTCACGCCTGTGAGCCCCGCCTCTACCATCGCGTCGAGCTTGCGGTGCAGGCTGATGCCATTGGTTGTAAGAGCCAGCTCTTTGAGGCCGCGGGAGCGGAGGGCGCCGATGCTGCGCATGAGGGGCAGGATGTCGGAGCGCACAGTTGGTTCGCCCCCTGTGAGGCGGATCTTGGTGACGCCTTGGGATACGAAGAGGGCGGAGAGGTAGGTTATTTCGGGAGTGGTGAGGAGGTGGGAGGGCGGGGAGAGGGGGACGCCTTCTGTGGATTGTCGACATTGTCAGTGTCTGCTGCCGGGGATGGGGGCGAGGAGGAGAGGGGCGGAAGGGAAGTACCCTCGGGCATGCAGTATAGACATCGCAGGTTGCAGCGCTCGGTGATGCTGATGCGGAGGTAGTCGTGCTGGCGGTTGAAGGTGTCGGTCAGGAAGTCGGAGAAGGGCTTTGCGTGCTTGAGGTCGTCTTTACGGTTGCGTTCGGGTTGCTGGGGAGGGAGCTCGATCGATTGGCTGGGAAAGTCGACGACTGGCTCCTGGACAGCGGCTGCGGTCGCGATTCCTCGTGTTGTCTTGTATTGCCAGCGTTGTGCTCGAAGTATACGATTGCCGCATGGCGTAGATAGCCGTTTTGCGCACCGCACGGCGGCCACGCCGGGACGGAGGAAGAGTGGCTCGGCCATTGCTCCAGAGGCTCAATTAAGGGCTCCAAGAGGCTAATGTTGTCGTCTTCAACGACAGTCGCATGGCGTTGGGGGTTTGAGAGTGTCCATGGTGGATTGGAGAAGTTCTAATCCCAGGATGCGATTCCGGTGGCCTCCGCGGCGATGGCCGAGGCCTGCCGGACCTCCGCTGAGGCCTGATCCACAAGGACGCGGGCCCACGTATCGTTACAGACGGAGATCTCACAGCACATTTCAAGAATTATCAGTACAGTGCCACGTAATGCTGCGTCTATCGCTGAGATGTGATAAGGTTCCTGCATCGCAGGGTTATATTAACCACTATATGAAAAAAGGTGACGCAGAACGCCCGCTGAAGTACTAACCCTCACTCATTGAGTTCCTATTTGAGCATAATCATAAAGAAGATGTAGCGCCTGCAGCGCCTGAGATATGCTCCTGGACATTGTCCGAGCTATGTCCTTCAACTCCATCCTGGAACAAACTTCTCACTCTACCAAAGGACGAGCTACACGTCGCTAAGCCCTCCGGCCTCCTCCCATTTTTTCCCTCTTCTCCCAACTACATGCCGAAGAGCTACGAGGCATTCAGCCGCCGGTGCGGGACGTTGTGTTCTGTAACCGCTGGTGGACGGGCTCGATTCTCGCACACATCCGCTCTAACCGCTCCATCAAAGACTGTTCGGTGTCGTCACAGTCCTCTTCCGACGTGACGAGCGCGAAACGCGAGGATTTACTTGACTCGATAGTGATAGCTTTAGGTTCGGAGGCCGAAGTAGCGGAGGCAGGAACGGTAGAAGCAGGTGCGGGAGTATTGACGTAGAGAGCAAAACTCGGATTGCCGTCGTCCTCATCAACATTAGCATCTGAGAGCTCTATAGCTACCTCGGCCGGAGCCGAGTTGACAACTGGATAGTCATGCTTTAGATCAGACTCCGCCTCTTCGGCCTCGGGCTCATCCGAGTAAGCCTCGCCCTTGCCAGACAGCGCAGCAACGTCGAGAGGGGCAGCGGGGCCTTCGGGCAACTCCGTCACGGCAAAGACCCGCGGCTGCTGGAAAGTGAATGGAAGACCGTTTGGCATCGTCCAGGTGTTACCAAGATTGAGTAGGGACATGTCGAGTGGAGTCTCCGGAATAAGCGTCATGCCGACATGCGAATTGGTCTGATGGTGGCTCGGGGCCTGCAAGTGCGGCTGTTGGGCAAGACCGTATATACTTGAGTCTCTGCGGGCCGGGGCTGGCGTCGGAGCCGGAGCAGCTGAAGGCTTAGTAATAGACTCATCGCGGCTCAGGTCTTCGAGGAATGGGTGGAAGGCCGGGTGGCGGAGGATCTTCTCGATGAAGGCGCGAGAACGGGCATTCTCATCCATAAGCGCTTGATTCTGGGCTCGCAGTTCGTTGCATTCGTCATTCTTGTTGGCTATCTCGCCTTCCAGTTGGCCGATGTACTCTACGGAGAGGTATGTCAGTGTATGTAAGACGGAGACGACCAGTGTGATTCCATACCTTTTCTCCGCGACCTGAAAGCACGGGCGGAAACCTTGTTGCGAAGTTGACGCCGCTCTTTACTGCTGAGCTTCTTGCCTTCTTCACTGGCAAGCAGGCGTTCGTCCTCATCCATGTCTTCTTCGTCCTTCTTCATTCTCATGACATGAGGGAGCATGCCGCTCGGCGAGGCATCTCGATTCGACGAAACGGTGCTGGCCTGGCGGATCTGGTTCACCACACGTGCAATGGTCTCTTCAGTCCTAGCGTCGAGGGGTTGATTAGATGCGGATCGTCGTGTGGACTGGGCACGGGCTTGTTGCGGCGCGGCTTGCTGTTGTTGTAACCGCTGCTGCTGCTGCATCTGCTGCCGCCTTTGCTGCTCGGCCTGAGCTTCTGCCTGGGCCTGTGCTTTGGCGAGGGCAGCCTGCTGCTGGTGCATGCCGGGATAGAAACGAACGTTGACCGGCGGTGGCTCGTCCTGGCTGCTGATGGCACTGGGATCCACAAAGTCGTCCGTCTGCGACCGCTGAGAAACGTCTCCGGGCGGGAATAAGAAGGCAGGCATCGATGAGCTCGGCGAGTTCATCTCCATGTCCATGCCCATTCCGAGGCCGCTATTTGAGCCGATTCCGTTGAAACTGCCCATAAAGCTGGACTCGTCGAAGCCGGTTCCGTAGCCGGGGAACGACGGGTACTCCTGACTTGACTGGCTATTTGAGTGGTATAGGCCAGGCACTGACCCAATCGGTATGCCCGTCTGCTGCTTCCATAGTTCGTATGGATGGCTCGGCTTCGCTGGCGTTTGCTGGTCCTCGTTCGGGTCAAGATGGAGAACGGTCGTTGCCGGACTTGTAGTGGCGGACTGCGGGTTCGAAGCAGGTATGTTGGACGGATGAGGAGACTGTTGTAGAGCGTTGAAGTCGAAGTACGTATCGATGCTACTGTCGACGTTCTCGATCTCGCCGCACTGAGCACCGAAGGGCGCAAAGGTCATAGGAGCATAGGTCGTTGTCATCGTAGATGTCGAAAGTCCAGAAAAGGTGGTACGAATGCCTCGTCAGGCGTCAGTAGCGTTTTAGGTGACTAAGTGGTGGTCCTGTTGCTGTTATTTGCAAGAGTTGGCGACGAAGGGTTGGCAGGCTGGGGGAGCGTCGTAAGCTGCTCTATTTTTGCCGACAAGTACGGCCGAGCGTCCGGGCTGGGCACGGGCGTTGTAGAGAGCGAGAGTGAGAGTGAGTGGTGTCCACAACGGTTCCAGGCAGCGATACGGCTTCGGTGTTCTATCTTGCAGAGGGATGGACTTTGCGCTTTCCAGTGTCGAGAGTTGTGAAGTGCGAGAGCGATGGTTCTGAGAGAGGGACGGTCTTACTCAAGTTCCTTGGAGAGAGCGATGCTGTTTCAACTGTGAGGCTGTGCTTCATGCATCCCACCCGAACCTTCGGGGATCCGAGCGCAAAACCATAGATCCCTGTATCCACCCCTCCCGGGCAGACAGCGGCCTAAAATTGCCGCGACCCTATCGCAACGCACCAAGGAGCATCTGAAAAGTAGGTTGCCGTGCCTCGTGCGTGACCTGGGCGAGGCTCACGGCAACCTTCTTTTTAACATTTCCTTGCACCGCCCAGTTCAGGCTCCAGTCGGGGGAACATGCCATGGCGATCCTTCGGCTGCCACGGCTTGGCCACATCGACACATCCATATTTCTGCCCGGCCATCCGTGCCATTTTGATGAACCTCCTCGTGATATGAGTCTCAAAAACAACTGCTCTGCATCGTCCGCGGCTTGGACACCAAACGCGCAATTTCCAGCGCTATTCGATGCCGAGTGGAAGGATATAGGTGGGCTTGGCGACCGTGGACACCTGAGGCTTGGAGGCTTGGACTACGCAGGCGATCGGCGAAACCGAGTGCTGTGGAACGGAGCGGAAATGCTATCCAACCGGACCGGTCACGTGCGTCTCTCGAAGGCAGCTCTGCTTGTGCCTCCGTTGGCGAGCCGGACAGTAACGCTCCGCAGACTGGACCTCACCTGCATACTCCCTAACACGTGCGCACTGTGGAACACTCTCGAGACATCGGTGTAGCGGGGCTGTGGTTTCCTGAGGACGGACGGCGACACGACGTACAAGCGATCGGGATTTGTAGAAGCATTTGCTCGACTTATGGAGCACGCTCGAAGAAAGAAGCAAATGACCGCGCTTGCAGAGCAGTGGAACCACCTTTTCTCGTGATTACTCACCTCCCATAGATGGAGATCATGATGAAGATTATGAGATATGGGTGAGTTTTACTATAATCTAAGACCGATTTTCGCCCGTAATTAACGCTGGGGTGAAAGCTTTCGCAGCAATACTTAGTCGCGTTTTAGACTTCCCCAATGCCATTTTAAAATTATGAATAGCTATTAGATCGTGGTGCGAACGATGCTGGGATCTCTGACATTAGGATCAAGCTTTCTACGCTCAGCAGCCAGACTCACTAAGTTGTGCATATGAAAACCGTAAACGCTGCCAGATGTCGAACAGATCAGAGGCAGGCTTTCCCCTTAATCGAGTAGGATGCACAACATCGTGCATTTGCGCCCCGTTGTCCGCTAGAGGCCCTCGCGGGACTAAAGCAAGCATCGCGACAAGCTTTGTTGGTCTAATTATAATTACTAAGACTACAATACGGAGTTGTGGCTTCATGATGCTATGGACCTGGCGTTCAACAGCTTGAAGCGTCCTGCGTATGCATTACGTGCGGGTGGTCTAGGGTGTGTGATCTTCGGAGCTTGAAAAGACTCCCATTATATCGGCGGCGACACACGTTCATTCTGTCTCTGCTCACTGGCATGCATACGGTCATTTACGACAGGTGAATTTGTTGCAGTAAGGGACAGAAGTACAGACAAACTATTGAACACTTGTGTATGGGTGCTGATGCCAACGCTTGAAATACGGTGACACGAACAAATAGTCAATGGGATCTTACGCAACCCTAAAAGTTGGAAGACCTCCATAAACAAAAGTAGCGAGAATATAGTTATCTATAGCCATACATGCGTAAAGACGAAACTATGAGAAGAACAGCTGAGCTTTTGCGCAAGCAACGTTTATTCGCAAGAACAACAGAAAATGACTCTGAACCCCTGCCACCATGCATAAAAGGGAAAATCTGACTGTGGATCAACGCGAATCCTAGAGCGCCAACGACTCCGGTGCTCAGATGCCATGAAAATAGTAATCAACTGTCCACAGCTATTCCCATCAGTCTGCCCAGGCAGTCCCCAGGCAATAACGTTACGGCATAGTATACCAGGGACTTTATGGTATTGCGTCGCTGGTAGCCTCCAAGCGACCTGGTTAACCGGTGGAAACCTTTGGGGACCAGTCCAGATGCAAGTTGCTCGATGCTGGGCTGTCGACTGAGCTGGTGCGTGGAGCAGCCACTCGCTTGAGTCCCAACTTGTCGAGCTGTTGTTATTGATGCTTTCTCGCAGCGCAGGCCAAAGCACCTTTGCCTCCATACGATCTTACCGGACCGCCGCTGAAGGATGGCAGAAGCTGCAGTCTTTCTTGCTGGTAGCGGGCTCGTCTTGTAGCCTCTGCTGTTTCAGCCGTTCGATGCTCACCAGGATCAAGCAACGACGCGATTCGCGTTGATTCCCGCTCCCGGCGGGCGTTCTCTCGCTGGTCAAATTCATTCAGGGTATCCTGAACAGACCTGACGCTAGCTGTCGCAAATATCAGCGTGGTACTTCAGCTGCCGGGGGCAGGTCAGCTTACTCTGAATGTGTACTGGCGTACGATGCCGGCCAAACAAACGGGTTATGCCGCAGCCGACCTTTTCCTGAACACACGATACAGCTCGCTCGACAGGTCCCATATGAATGATGCGGTTTACGCGGGACACAACAGCATCGTAGAGGCCTATCCTCAAAGCGTCCTGATGCGTCGTGAAGACTTCAAAGTCCTCAAGAGTATCTTCGCCGATGAGTACGTCACAGATCAGATCCCGGAGAAGGTAAAAGGCTGTTGTAACCGCGCCATGGACATCTCTAAGATCCACGGATAGCGATACATATGCCACGCCGGAGGTATACGCAAGGCTCCCGTCAGCGAACATGATCACTTCCTCTCCTTCCTCAACGACATAGCCTTGTTCGCAAGCAAACTCGGGCGACATCAGGTTGAGCTCCGATCCGCTATCAGCGATGGCAGATACCATTTTGCCGGCCAGTTTGCAGATCACCTGCTGAGTTGCGCATACAGCCCTTACACGCAGTGGTCCCGGTACACGACGTGAGAGGCGTACTAAACGCTCTCTGTGGGCGGTCAAGGTCTCCGTTTCATCGAGAAATTTTCGGCCCATGACGAGATCTGTGGCAACGTTCCGGAAGACGTAGAAGATACAGACAAGGTTCGGAGAGGCACTTAGCTCCGAGACAAACCGACAAGAAGCCTGGACACAGCCCACAGATTGCACTTTGTTGCCATTGGCAAGCTCGAAGAACCTTCCGTCGGCCAGATCGTCGGATATTGCAAGTCCAAGGCTCTGAGCAAGATCTTGCGAGATGATGTTCTCCTCGGAACCTGTATCGGGACAGGACATCACAGTTACCGGTCCACTTCCGGTCCCTATTGTAATGGGTAGACCGATTCTGGTCTTGCTGCTGCCGGCTACAGATGTTTGTTTCGATGACAGCCGAGTGTCATGCTTAGGTAGAGAATACTTCATGGCAAGACGACCTAGAGCATGTGGCGCGAACGGGTGTTGAGATAAGAGAAAGAGGTCATGGGTCTCATGGCGCTGATGTTGCGGTCGTCTATGAAAATCAAGAGATGCAGATAAGGGGTCGTTCAGTGGATTCGGCGGTTCGTTGAGCCCGATTCCGGTCGCCGGTGCTGGTGCTGGTGCTTTGCAGACCAGCTCGGACAGTGTCAAATCTCGGTTGATTGAGATTGCGCTTGCGGTGTATTGCTTTTGATATGTTGGGCGGCTAGCTGGATTGCTGACGGCAGATGTATCGACCTTGATAGCAGGTGTGAAGCGCTTACACTTGCGGCTGCTGCCGAGGGCCAATTGATCAAGTGGCACATGGTCTAGCGCTGACTTTTGGGATATGTGACCTGAGAAAGAGCAAGATTAGTAGCCGTCGTCGGCACAGGTTTGTTCAAAGCGGGATGTACATAGGATTGTAAGCGAACGAGTTGGCGGTAGAGTTAGATACTCGCAACAAGAATATGATCGCTTGGCCAGTACCGAAATTGATCGACATAAGCTACATGGAGTAGTTGGCAGCAGCGAACCAACCAGTCCAGTACGGAATCCACTCATGAATGTTTGGGTTCACGAAGAAGGGGAACTTACGCTGTGATCTAAGCTCCAGGAAGTCATGTTCTCTCATCATCACAACTTCCATTTTGTCTTTTGCGGTTGCTCGAAGCGTGTTCAAATTGAGACACCTGATGTCGCTTGTACAACGATCGTGAGTTTTTAGTGAGGTGGTGCAGCTGAGGGAATGCGAGACGTTGGGACAAGAAATGGGGGAGGGGAGTAGTCAAATTTATACTCTTGCGCGGGTCACGATGGTGAAAGCGGTGTGAACAAACGCCTGGTGGAAAGGGCAAGGACGGCCTCACGATAGACTTTTAAAGGGTAGGAAGCTGTCTACGGCGGTGATGGCGGGGCAATTCTTTGTCCTCGCCAGGAGCATTGAGAGGCTGCGGCCCAGTGAGCGGCTTCTAAATTGCATTATTAAGACAGCCCGCTTCATAGAGTTTTTGCATGAATCGCCAGCAGACAGCGTTCGAGGTATGTAGGGTAGGCCTGCGATTAAAGAGCTTCGTCCGACGATGAACGAGTTTTCAGCTCAATCCCTTATAGCTATAGGGCCCAGGCATAATGACGATACCCTAGCCCATCAGCGGGCGCGCGCATCAGCTTAAAGTGGCTAGGCTGGACCCTAGCACCTCAACTTGCCGGATACTCTCCCGGCCGATTATTATTCGAATCACGTGCCGCAGCCCGTGCTCCATCACCAAACCACGCGGTGAGGGTATATAATCGCCGCATTCATTGATTATCAGGCGCAAGGTAATAACATAAGCGCGCATTGCAACAATAATGTCCGGGCCTCGGTTTGGAGCCTTATTGGTGGTGGTTAACTAAAAAGTCATCCAGAAACGAGCTGGCTGAGTTTGGTGATGGAGCACGGGCTGCGGCACGTAATTCGAATAATAATCGGCCGGGAGAGTAGATCCCCATTTAGCGCTTTCCGGGAGTAAACTCCTACTAATTCAGCGCTCCCCCTCCTCCGCCCCATCTCCCACCCGCCCCTTTTTCTAGAAGGTAAGCACAATTAGGTTCGTTCCTGTCAGCGGCCGGGTGGCGAGTAGCGAGTGGGAGCTATCGTGTCTTCGTTCCATCGGGTACGAAGCAGCACGAAACGCTTATCGTGACCACACGATGAGCGACGTCAAACGCTGGGGAGCTTGGCCAATCCTCCGCCCGGCCACCGAAAGCGCTGCAAGCGTCAGTATGCCGCTGGCGGCCTCGTCACCTGCTCGTCTTCGCTTCACTCCTGACTGATGGGTTCTTCCTTTCCTGACAAGAAAGCAAGAGAGAGTGATGAAGAAGAAGGAGCTAAAGGGAGACTAAGGGCGTAACGGACCTCACTTCAGCTTAGACGGCTGCGGTGCTTGCGCAGCGCGATCTTGGCATCGAGTATAAGTAAATTGCGAAGAAAACTGGTGTTTCGGAAGAGGCGGCGCGCAAGCTTGTTTCCCGGTTAAAAAAGCGCGCTAATAGCTTAGACGAACTACTAGTGCTTATTATAGATATAAGTATCCAAAGAAAGAAAGAATACTCCGGTCGTAAAGCCCTTATCGAGCCTGGTTTTAAGGTATACTCTCTTACTATTGTTTTTAGTCTTCTTACTTATTCGCTATAGAAATCGCTTATAATTCGGTACTATATTCACGATAATGAGTATAAGGGTTAAGCCTAGCTTCTATAGAACCTTAGTATATATAGAACTACTCTTTTTTATATTCTTACTAACTGCAAGTATGTCGCAAAGGATCTTATCTATTCTTACTATATAAGATACCGTGTTCGACCGAAAAAAAAGTAGCTTTTAGGAGATAATAAGTATAAACGCGTTGTGTTTTACTATTAGATAGTATCTAGATGTAAGTAGTATCTACCTAGCTACCTAGATTCTAATATAAGTAAGCTAAATAAGGAGATTATCTGGATCTATAGCGATAAGACGCTAGTTAGTACTAGAAGTAAGTATCTTTCAATTAACTTGTATAGATAATACTAGATAGAGTACTCTATAGACTTCTTGTAACGAGGTGCTATCACAAGATAACAAAGATTACTATAATAGTTAGGATCCTAATTAAGGAGGTAGGGAATAGTGCTAAGATATAGTTAATAAGGTGAGGATTAATATTATGTAGTAAGATTAGATTAAGTTATAAAGAATGCTAGATTCTTATTTAAGTTAAGCACACTATTCTAATAAAC